TTGTTCCTTTTGCTCATCACAGGATCTAGTACAGAGTATGTTTGATGGAATAAATTGGGAAAAGTGCTTGGGTATAACACCATGAACCTCCTTTCACACTAACACAAATCCACTATTACCACCCTTTGAATAATGCAGAAGTTCAATGGACTGTATTCACATTCACCCAATGTTATCATCTTGACCATAAGGATATCAAGAGCGACCTTTGTTTTGTTGCTGCTCAAGTATATCATACCTGTTGCAATCTTATTATCCACTGGTCTTAGAACTTTTGTAGAAAAGGGAAATGACCCACAGACAACCTAGTGCATGCTCACACCTGCAGATTGTCTAGTTGATGGCTTTGTAAGTGCTTAAAATTTGGCCCTTTAAAGAGGCACACGGAAACATTCCGGGGATTATGTTTAAGAACACATGTTCCATCTGATTTTGTATATTAAAGTGACATTTGTCTGTCTTCTGTGTTTACTTAATGTTCTCTGGTCTTTCAGTCATTTTCACTGTGATTTGTTGAGCTTGGAAACATGAACTCATTGTAGGGAGCTGTGTGCTCTAAGATTGCTTTGCAGAGGTCTTGATTTAGTTCTCCCTGAGCACTTTTTTTTTTTCTACCTTTTTAGTTTGAATACCAAACTAAGCATCTTTACCAAAAAGACAGAAATAAAAGAGACAAAGGTTTTTGTTTTTGTTTTTGGCATTCACAAACTCCTGTTAATTCCAATGTAAATTGTGATTAAGTGTAAGTACAAAACTTTTTTTTGTTAGCCTTAGCATTTTTTTTTTTTTTGCAATAAGTTTCATAGTACAGTTTCACATAATTCAGTGAACAGATTGGTGCCACTTTAAAGAATTTTTCTTGTTCAATGGGCTTTTTCTCCCATGTTTTAGATGTACCTGTTATAGAGGAGATTGGTAGAAAGCAGGCTGTGTAATTACATTGTTCTCTCCCTTTCTTCCTCGTGGAGAAATCACATAGTCAGAATTTCTTTTTGATGATTTCTCAATCTCTTGAGCTATATATCCTTTTAGAATCTTTTGCCATGGAACCATATTATTTTCTGTACCTCAATCTCATACGACCTAAACTTGAACTACATTCAACTTTTCTTTCCCTGATGATCATCTGGGGACACTTTTCTCCTGGGGCACCATTACTTTCACTTCACCAGTGAACTCCTCCTTGCTTGCAAGTCTTAGGTTCTGAGTTGAAACTTCTCTGGTCATTTCATCTCCTCTTTGGGAAATGACATAGTGTATTTAGCCAAAAATTAGCCAAAAATTGTTTTAGCTGAATGAGACTCTTAGTAAATGTCCAAATATTTGAAACTATAATCGGTACTCTTTCTTATTCTTCCCTACCAAATCCTTCCTAATTCTTCCTGTGAATGTACATTTGTCATGTCGTGCTACAATCTCAAGTGTACCTCCTTTGTAACCCAGCTTCTGTGTTAGTGTGTAAAACATCTGAGATTGCGGGACTTTGAGAGTTGTTTAATGACCCATTTCTCAGTCATTATTTTAATTGAAATGATTTGACACTACATTCACAATTGTCATTCTTATTTCTATATAACTTAGATGAGAATTGTTTGCCTGCAAGAAGTAGGTACGTATTCAAGCCAACTTAAACTAAAAATGGGCTAGTTAATGGGAGAACAGAGTCATATGTCATAGAATATGGGACTGGGAGAAGAGCTGGGCTCCACAAGGAACTCATCTGACATCTGGACATTTGGAATTGATATCATTCTGTGCTCCTTTGATCTTGAGGTGAATTTGCACCCTTCTCTGCTTCAGCAAGCACAAGGCAGACAATGGTGATCTGATCTCCAATGGACATGACCCCCCAGATCAAGTGCTCATACCCCAACACTCAGTCTTGATACCCCTACTTCAAACTCTTCTCTGAATCATATTGCCTTGGAATGCCATAAGGCTTATTTTCTTTTGTGTCACAAGCTCACTCAGTCCAGTCATTTGGAGCTGGAGAGGAAAGGGTTGCATGATATGGACTGGGGAAAATAGCTTTTCTAAGAAGGTCACACCTAAGCAGGATGGGAAGGCACAGCAGACATTATTTAGAATTTCGATGTCAGGATTGCCATCTTCCACCCTAATTATTGCCATATGTCTATTTCTGTGTTCAATTTCTCTTCTCTGGAATTACATTAGGTAGTTTCCAGCCAAACACAACCTAACACTTGTTTGTAAAGTACACTCCCATCTTAGACATGAGTCTTTAATTCCAGTATTTTAAACCATGGTTTAGAATTTAAATTTCATTCATCGTTATCTCCCATATCCTCCTCTTCCTCCCAAAGGGAATCAATGAAAACATCCCCTATAATCTCAAATGTTTCAGTTTCCTTCCAATGACATTATAATTCTGAAGATACTCCCCAGTGTCTCTATAGGAATCAGCATGACTGGGTAACAAGCCTCGGCATATGCTTGAGAAAGATAGTGATACTAGTTTCTTTAGTCTGTTGTAGCTGCTTCTAGCACATCACAATCATGCTACACACAATTGTAGCACGACGTGGTAAATGTACTTTCCCAGGAAGCCATAGGAAGGATTTGATGGGAAAGAATAAGAAAGAGTACTGACACAGTTTCAAATATTTGGACATTTACTAAGAGTCTCATTCAGCTAAACCAATTTTTGGTTAGTTTGTGGTTCAATACACTATTTTATCTCCCAAAGAGGAGAAGAAATGACTAGAGGAACTAGCAACACCAAGCAAGACACATTCTTTCCTCCCAAGGTCAGTATTTGATATTCTTGAACTACTGAGGCTGTTCAATTCCTTTCCAGCATTTTTTCCTTCCTCAAGGAAGGTCTAGTCACTTCTCTGCTCCGCTTCAGTGGGAAGCACATCGTTAGTGTGCATTGCCAGTGGGCCAGCAACTTCTTTGTTTTCTCTCTGTCACATTCTTATACTCTTTATTGTACAGATTCTGATTTTGATTCTCCTCTTCTTTAGATTCTTCTTTTGAGCTTGAGATAAAACCACTTTTCTAGAAGGACTGGATTTACCTTTTGGGGGAAGCTCATACCTTAGTGTATATTTTCAGTCCAATAGAATTTCTTATTCAATTGATCTTTGCTTTCTTTTTTTCATTTTCATTAATTCCTATCTGTGCTGTTGGATTAAGATATGACCCTTTTCACCATTAAAGTCAGGATCTTGTACTTTTTGTTTGTTTGTTTGTTTGTTTTAAGTAGGCTTCCTGCCCAGAGCAGAGCCCAAAGTGGGGCTTGAACTCACAACCCTGAGATCAAGACCTGAGCTGAGATCAAGAGTCGGATGCTCAACTGATGGAGCCACCCAGGCACCCCAGGATCTTATATTTTTAGTTTCTCTTTTAATCCTATTTTATTGGAATTATTTATACTCAGATACTTTATGTGAGAATAAAACATATTTTTCAAATCTCTTCATACATTCAAGCATGTAATTTAGCCAGCTAGTATTCAACAGGCCTTTCTTTAGCTTATCTTTGCTTCCGACGGGAAGACAAACTTAGCTTTTTTTCTGCTTTTCATTGAACTAGTGCCATCATGTCCCATGAATTTTGGTGGTATTAAGACATCATATATATATTATCCTATATTGCATCATTTTCATTTATTGTCTCTTGGAATATAAGTAAAGAGCATAGCCTTAGAGGTCAGATAGACCTTCTATAATGTTGGGTAAGTTACTGAAGCTTTGTAGACCTCAGTTTCCTTGTCAGTAAAATGGGGATAATGATTCCTACTATGTAGCATTGTTATGAAGATCAAATAAGAAGATGTAGGTTGACTGTTTACTACATAGTAAATGCTTAATAAGTGTTGGCTTTAATTATTGTGATTTCTTTTGTTAAATTGCAATTTTCTTGAAATTGAGAACTATATTTCAAATTTTCTTAAGCAGTTAGTTCTTAATATGAGTTTATTGCTGTTTATTTATATAATAGTCATATTTAGGGATAAGAACTCCCAAAATGAAACACACAGAATTAAGATTGTTAGATTTGATTATGGCTTCTTTATTGACCCCAATTTGGTGGGTTGTTTTACTTCTCCTAATCTGACTTAACAATTTTTTTTTGAAAAATATTACTCATTTCTAAACTTCCTCTTGTCTTTTCTAACTTGGGAGGGAGATTCATATTCAAATTCCACCAGTATTTTTTTTTTTTCAACGTTGTTTTTTTTTTTTTTTTAATTTATTTTTGGGACAGAGAGAGACAGAGCATGAACGGGGGAGGGGCAGAGAGAGAGGGAGACACAGAATCGGAAACAGGCTCCAGGCTCCGAGCCATCAGCCCAGAGCCTGACGCGGGGCTCGAACTCACGGACCGCGAGATCGTGACCTGGCTGAAGTCGGACGCTTAACCGACTGCGCCACCCAGGCGCCCCTCCACCAGTATTTTTAAGTGTCAACCCCACCAGGCTTTGTGCTAGGTGCTTAAACATATCTACACATTGTTTCATAGATGAAAAAAACCAAGGCTTAGAGAGTTCAAGTGAATATCCTAAGATCATATGATTAGTAAGGAGCAACTGCAAGAATAATAAATAAGACTTAACCATAAACCAGTGAAAGAGCTCTAAGAGGAATATGACTGAGTAGCATGAGGTACAGAGAGAGATTTTTTTCTTCAACAAGGGATGAGTAGAAGAGTCAGAGAAGTCTTTGTGAGGGAGATGAAGTTAATCCAGGAGATGTTCAGTCAATCCATGAACAGTCAAGAAGATTTTTTTCTTCCATTTCTTCAATTCTCACTTGGCTATGTATAATGATTTATGCTTATGGCATATAATTGCAAAGCAGATAAATTTTCACTAAATGGAAGATAAAATGGCGACCACGGTAGAAAAGCATTTTATTTGATGATTTGTGACTATAAGTATACTCACAGGCTTTTAGTATATAAAGAATGGATCTAATGGAAGAAGACCCATTGTCAGTGCTGAAAATAATGGTACATATGTCCTTTCACCAAGTTTAGTTACAGTTCTCATAATACAAAACCAATCCTTGAAATGCATGGTAAATATGCTGATTCTGGGTACAAATGAATCCTCCATTTCTGAAGGCTTGGTATGGGCTCCGATTTAGGTCTCCAATGCAGGTCCAGCGATTTTTGGTCCTCTTTTGGGAAACACACCATTTGGCATGATCCTGGTAAGAACTGAAATAAGAGTGTCCAGATATCTTAATTGCTTTGACATTGTAGACATGGTAAGGAAGGGAACAGTTTGAAGGAAGCTCTTGTCTCTTTCGCTGCCAGGTTTCTGTTAGCAAATGCGTCTTCAACCGTTGAGCCATCCAGGCTGCAAAGATGTCTAGGGTTTACAGGGAGAAAGATAGTGAGGTTAGTATTTATACTTAGATAAGTCCCTGAAAATATCCTCAGCAATGGAAATCATCATTCACCCCTGATATATGGATGTCACGAGCACAATAATAACAACATAATTGAGATAGTGGATGGGAGAACATTTTGTTAGTGCTAAAGTGTTATGCAAATAAAAGTTCTTATCACTAAGGTGATATTGGTGTTTAAAAATGTTTTCTGTTCCACACAAACAAGAGAGCAATATATGCTTTTGTCTTGAAAAGATCTTTAGACAGAATGAAGCTAGAGAAGTAACCAGGGGCCAGCTTCAAGGGCTCTTTGCACATCATGCCAAAATGTTTGGATTTTCCTGAAATCAAGGGGAAAATTAAAAAAAAATTAATGTTTATTTATTTTTGAGAGAGAGACAGAGTGTGAGCAGAGGAGCGGCAGAGAGAGAGGGAGGCACAGAATCCGAAGCAGGCTCCAGGCTCCGAGCCATCAGTACACAGACCAATGTGGGGCTCCAACCCATGAATCATGAGATCGTGACCTGAGCCGAAGTCAGATGCTCAACAGACTGAACCACCCAAGCGCCCCTCAATGGGAGAATTTTTAGAGAAATGTTAGTGGAAAACTGATAATAGAAACTGATTTTTGATCATAAATATCAGTTGGGAGGCAACGTGCAGGATGAATTGAGAAAGGTGTATTAGATTGGAGATAGGGAAAACACAGGGTTGTCACAATAATTGTGACAATAAACACAGGCATGGACTAAGGCAGTGGCATAAAGCTTGGAGAGGAAAAGATAAATGTGAGTGTTACTAAGGACCTAGAACTGATTGAATTTGATGACTTGCTAGAGCAGTAAAGAAAAAGGAGGGATCTAGAGTCCTTAGTTGACTCTGCAGAATATAAGAAAAAGAATAGATTTGTGGGCAATAATGATGAGTCTGGCACGTTGAATTTGGCATGGCTATACCACCCCCAGGTAGCAATGTCCCACCCACTATTGAATACTGATGGCTCTGTCAGTCCAGAGGTATTGAGAATCACCTGAAAGCTTATTGGAGTTGCATAGAATGAGTATATAGAATGAGATAAGGAAGAGTGGAAGACCACGTGGCAACCCAGTCACCTAAGGAGTAGGCAGAGGAGGAGGACCTAGTTAAAGAGACTTAAGAGAAGTGGGAAGAAGACCAAGAGACTGCACACTCCCAAAAATCAGGAAGGGAGAGTGTTTCAGGAAGGAAAGGGTTTTAACAGTGCCAAATTCTGCAGAGGCTATTTCTGTCCTGTTGATTTTTGGATCTCTAGTGCCTAATACAGGGCTTGGCAAGTGGTAAGCATTCAGTAAATTTTATCTAGTATAAAAGGAAGGAAGGTAGCAAGAAAGGAGGGAAGACAGTGAGGTCAACTAAGAGGGTCACTCGTGACTGGGGAGAGACTGGAGTGTCTACAGACAGAGATGCAAAGACTACAGTGAAGGAGCATTGAGCAAGTGTAAGCCCATGAAGAGTCTTTAAAATTATTTTTTAATGTTTATTTTTGAGAGAGAGAGAGAGAGAGAAAGAGAGACAGAGCATGAGTGGGGGAGGGGCAGAGAGAGAGGGAGACAT